GGGGGGGGGGGGGGGGGGGGGGGGGGGGGGGGGGGGGGGGGGGGGGGGGGGGGGGGGGGGGGGGGGGGGGGGGGGGGGGGGGGGGGGGGGGGGGGAGGGAGAGAGAGAGAAGAGGAAGAGGAAGGGAGAGCGGGAGGGATTCCGAGAAAAAGACGATGATGGGGAGTGATTTTGTCGTATGTCGTTTCTTGGGGGCAGAGAGATTGACCGCTGTTAGGGTGATATGGTGCTGGATCTTGAAAGCTGGTTCTGGCAGCAAGACGATAGAAGGTGTGAAGAAGGTCCTTACGCGGCGTGTCGATGGGACGGGAACAAGAGCGGGAAGTTGCAGCGTGGGGGGGTAGGAAAGAAATAGACAGATGGGATTGACGGGACTGAGATGGGAGGTGGGAAATCGAAAAATCGGGAGGGGCAGTGCAGAGCAGAAACGGGGGAAACCAGGGGACTGGAGAGAATGGTCTGAGGGGGAAGAGAGGGAAGAGACCTGCCGTGGAGCAGGCTGGGCTTGGTTTTGCCTACGCCTGTTTTTTTTCGGATATTGAAAGGGGCTGCCTCGAACGAACTTTGGGGCCCCTAATCCTTGCTCAAAAATCTCTACCCAGCCTTCGAGAATCCCCTGTCGTTTTTCATTTGCAACTTCCCTTAGTCCCCTAGAAAACCAGCTGGACGAAAAACCTTTTATCCTTAATTCCCGCCTTAAAGATAGCAGTGCCAAACCCACTCCTCGATTGTCTGAGGAGTGGGTTAGAATCCAGTGGAGATAACATTTTATCGCTGCTTTCTTCATTTGAGTTGGTCCAAAAGACCAGAAATCCTTCATCGTCTGGATCCTGATGGGCTTCTCCTCCCAAATCGTAAGTTGGTTCTTGGTGGTGGTTGCGCAGTTCACTCTTGGTGATTGGGCTGAGCATTTAATTGAGCATCCTAGGAAATTCCATTTACCACTGGCGTCATCTGTCCAAACTAAAGTCAAGTTAGGGTCATAGGAGTCCTGGAATTTCGTCAGTAGTTTACCGGCCTTCTTCAGTGTAGTTCGATCTCTCTTTGGAAAAAGCAGAAAGATACTTATGTCATCAATTAATCTAATGCCGTGAAAAAACCTTTCATCGGTCCCAATAGACCTAAGAAACATACACTCGTTGTAAGAACAGAGTAGGCAGGCTAATGAAGGGCTATAACTCTTGCCCATGGGAATACCGTCTACCTGCCGGATCAGTTTCCCCGCGACCTTTGAGTAAGTTCCCTTAGTTATACCGTATGCCTGCAACGGATGACCTCCTCATAAAATAATAACGTATGACATGAAGCATTTTGAAAACTCGACTCGATACCTGGTAAGGGCATAACCGTCTAACGAGAAAATGACGGGCATGGGCATTTCACAAACTTCGGACGTAGTCAAAGGACGATTCTTGTGTGGGTAGGTTTTGGGGGGGTATTCTAGCATTTCTGTAATTTTGGGGGTATCCTTGTATTAACGTTATCTTTGAAGGGAAAGGTGCAAAAATTACTTTTTTTTTGTTTTTTTTTTTAAGCCCAGGTTGTTGTAGTGGTCGGATTCTGGACATATGACAATTACCTTCGGCATTCGCTCATGTGGTTTATTCGACAGTTGATAGAGGTCCCTTGAGACTCCCTCCCAACCTTCCACTCTCGTAGTTTCTCCTTGGCGCAGCCCTACTTCTACGATCCTACCTCAGTGTCTACCACTTAGGATTATCACCCACTCAGGGCTAAGCAGAGTCTCACTTACCCTACTCAACCCTAATCGAAGCGCAGTCATACGGGCCCCGTCGCCTAGGTATTAAAGGCACTAGGGGGTATGGGCGTTCTCTACAAGTCTCATAGGTGCACCTATTCCTTGTTCCTACCGTTGTGTACACAATTATTTGTTACTACTGGTCTTGTTGTTAGGTTGTTCATTGTGCATACTATTGTTATTACTACTTGTTCTGTTGTTGCTGTAAACGTTGTTGGTTGTGAGTTATTTTTGTTAACGCGGGAGACAAACTATCTACCTTATTTGATGCCTAAGGACCTATTGCACCTAGTTTGTCGAGTAAGTGCAACCACGGGCCTACTCGCCAAACTTGGCGGATGGCGAGTAGTGCAACCAGACCCTAAGGGAGCCCTCAACACAAGATCCCTACTAAGGCCCTTATCTCAGACAACACCGACCATCGATCAACAATACGTAGTAGGCCCCCCAGCCGTTCCTGTTACTTCAACCTACATGGGCGGGCTGTATGTCGGTTTATCGCCTAGAGGACCTTGTATCAGGGTTCTCCTATCTAATCCCTCCCCCGTGCCAGCTGTAGGATCCTGTCCTCATCCCCCGCAAGCCCTACCTTCTTCTTTTTTGAAAAAGGGGGTAGTTGTTGTTTTTTTTTTTTTTTTTTTTTTTTTTTTTTTTTTTTTT